ATAATATAATGACGCTAAGCGAAAAACTAATTTACATTCCACTTAATGGTAAGTGGCTACTGCAACCAATAACACTTGCAAACAAATATATATATATATATATATATATATATATATATATATATATATATATATATATGTTTGCAATGTTATATATATACACATATATATATGTGTGTGTGTGTGTGTGTGTGTGTGTGCGTGTGCGTGTGCGTGTGTGTGTACATGCATATATATATGTATGTACATATACATATATTAATTTTCTACAAATACTTCAATTTAGTATCGGCTTCCTTCCATAATTCGTTATTAATTATTAATTATTATTCACTGGAAAATTCACGAAACATGAACTTTAAAATAAATTTACAATTTTATTCACTTTAGAACTAGAATATTTAATGTATTGAACAAAATATTAAATCATAAAATTGTTAAAAACGAAATAAAATTACGAATAATAACTGGCTATGAGAGAAAGAGAGAAAGAAAATGTGCGCGCGCACCGCTCTCTCTGCATATATCCTCCACACAACTGCCGTTCGCCTCGCCCGATCATACTTTTCGTAACGCTTTCGTCACGCGTTCACTAGCTTACTCCCCAGCGTGTGTAAAGAAGTTTTACTTCAAAAAAGAAGGCCACAGATGCATTGTCTTTTTTTATAGGATAGTGTGACAAACGAGCACAAAGTCTACCAGATGGTAAGTGGATGTTGTGGCCCATAGACATCTACATTTATCCTCAATTAAGAATCAAAATGCAAATGCGTTGTCACTCCTGAGAACTAAAATGTAATACCTCGATTCCAGTAAAAAGGGTCTCCGATTCTCTACACTCACCATACGAGACACAGCAGCATTACACTGCTATTTTACGCTGGCATTCTGTGAGAGCGTGGTTCTGTCCCTGCCTGTGTTACAACTATAATATAGCTGCAGCGTGGCTGTACCACGTTAACTTGAATTAGTACCTATAAATGTCGCACGGTCGCACAACGAAACATTTAATGAACCTAATGAATCAGGAAAAATAACGAATGTCCTAAACCGAGCAGGCATTTATACGTTAAAATTACTATGGTATACAAATACAAACAGTTTCGCAATTTCCACAGGCGAACGTCGTTTGGCTTCCTGCCAAGTTGTTGTAATATAACTGAATAGTTTTCCATGTTGTTGCTCTGCTCTTGTTATAATGAAATGTACCGCATTAAGGGGAAATATAATGTCAAATGGCTTAGCAAGATCCTTCGTTATGCCGAAAATATTGCAGCATTAATTTTGAAATAAATATATGGTAAAGTTGAGGATTAATGTTAGACGAAAACACGTTTTCGTAAAATTTTCTCGATAGAAAAAAAATCCAAAGTTACCTCCAAAATAAACAATAAACCGCTGTTATTCATAAAATACTTTAAATAAGATCATGAAACTTTGCATACTAACTGAACTAACTATAAAGCAGTGCTTATGTTATTTACTTTTTTTAAAATACCATTATTTTCACTGTAAAAAGAAATTACCTAAACTATCGGCGTCTTGAGCTTGATTCCTGTCGCCCGTTAGTATCGCTTAGGCTTTTGAAGGGAGAAGTTGTGTCGCTATCAGTATATACATTACGCAACAGTACGACGTAAAATTAAAATGGGAAATAACCGTGATAAAAATAAGAAGCGGCTCGCTTGGCGTTAAGAAACAGGCATAAATATGATAAACCTAATGAAATAAGTGTCTAACGACCTTTCTACTTACAGTAGTGATTACAACATATCGGTACATAGCATACGACGCGCGGGGAAGTGGGGGCGAAATTAGAATTTGAGCTGACTTACTCTATCCTCTTAAGTACTGTCGCTGTACCGTTATATATTAGCCACAGCCATAAACGGCCTTACTAATAAAATCGACATCGATTTATGTTGCTCTCTCTTTTTTCACTCAATTACAATAGAATGAGACAATAGAATGGACATCAATTAAAGAAATTATTAAAGTTGCTCTTTCTCTTTTCACTCAATGACAAAAGAAAGGGACATGAATAGAGATAAACGCAACGGGCTGTTTTCCGCAACTCCACGTCTAAGCGCGTATTTTGCGTCAACTATATTGTATGTAATGTATGTAAAACAGTCCCGTGGGGTTAGCCAAAATGACTCTACAATCGTTAACGCTAATAGGCAACTATGAAAAAAGAAAGGGAATGACTTCATAGTCACGTGACAGTCACGTGACCTGTCGTTGATTTGGTTCGAGTATATTCATTTTAATAATTTTGTTGACGATTTTAAATACAGTAAAAGCTCTTTATTCGCGCGTGAATATGGAATCGTACCTAATTTATATAGGATTATAGGGAATACGTTCCTAGGTGACAAAAAAAAAACAAATATATAAAAAATCTATTCAATTGAAGTTTTTACCATATTGATTATTTATTATCTGCAGGCTTTGGAAATGTTTTAAAAAATTTTGTAATTTTTTCTTGCTTGGCAGTTTTTAAAAGCTCCTTCAATTCAAACTGATATTCAGTAGTGGCGTTAGCAATTTGCTTTTTTAAAATAAGATTTCGTTCCATAGACGGGATATATTTTCAAAAAGAAATCACAAAGCTCATTCGCCATTCTTGAGCCTTCACTAAAATTTTTCAAATTAAATGTCATGTTTCCAGTGCTTGTTGAAGCCTCTTCAATGGGCTCTAAATTTACCGTTTCATCTGAGTCGGTTTCAGTCAAATCTTCATCTTGCGATTCAAGCAATGCCCGAATGTCACTTGATTCGATACAGCTATTGAAATAATTTTTATTAATATGTATATACCGATGTACCGATTAGATCCGCAAATAAAGAAATCTTTAGCCGCGAATATAGGAATTGGATCGCATTTTTTTCAACCCACGAATAGTAAAAACGCGAATGAAGGTAACACGAATAAGGAGCTTTTACTGTAGTCGCTTTAGTTAACCTCACTGAAATCGAATCGCAATTGTCGCTATGTTTACTGTAATTGTCTTCTAGAGATAGATTCTATATCATAGAACATATCAGTATCCATAATAACCTCACCTAGTTTGGTGATGGCAAAAAAACACTAAAGAATTCTAAGCTTTAGCGTCTTTTTGCCACTGGTGTCACCCTGACTTAAGTATATACAAGATCGATTTAAATACTTATTGATATGGGTGAATTAATTTTTATGGAGTAAGAAGATATTAGTTTTACGGCTTATGACCTTACCTTGAGTGCTTTCTTAGCATATTCACTTCTCTTCAAGCAGGCTGACGACGCTAGACGATTTAAAAATCCAAATCCAGCGATTAATTATTTATGGGCTCATGAATACGAAGATATAATACACATAGAAATATCGGCTAAAGGAAACAAAAATGAGTGTAATTTGAATTAAAAAAAATGTATAACGATTGCTTATAAAACTAATTTACGGATTTTATCGCGTTTAATTTAACTTATTTTAATTATTTACAATTCCCAACGTTTCCGGTGCTTTACAGCACCCATGGTCACGGGAGTGACTGAGGTGTTAGGTGTCTTAATGTCATAAGTTAGCCCGGCTATCTTCGGCTTTTAAATATAAATTTTTGGTCCGATCTACGCAGAACAAGCTTACAGTATTTCAGGAAAGTTTGTATTCAATTTTATTAATTCATTGTAAAGGCAGATGGTAGCACCCAGCGATCTTCTCGATAAGGTAGTGTAGGGGGGAATGTCTTATGATAGTACAGAGTGAAATAAATAAGAGATGGGTAGCAGCATCTTCCTGATTACAACTCAAGATAATAAAATATTCTGATTGTTAACGCGCCTGCCATCTGTGGTAACCATGGCAAATATTCACCGCAGTAGCAGTCGCAGTAGAATTTGATAGGGTGTAATGAAATAATATATAATGTATAATATTATAAAACGTAAATGTATTAACATTTTATAATTAAAATTCATGTACAATACTTGAAAATTACTTTCAAACTAGGCGCTTGAGGTTGGCCAACAAACAGCCAGGGGAAATCATATCGTAGAATTATTTAACAAAACCGGCAAATTGGCATCCTCACTCTGTATAAACTTACCTCTTTTTATTAAAAACTCAACATTACGTTGTTACCTTCATTTGTATGAGAAATGTCGGATATTAGAGAGATACTGCATGTGTAACAGAAACAAAAACAGAAACTTTTTAATTAAATTTATATTAAAATCATACTTATTGAAAGTCTCTCTTTGTTTAATTGCCACAAATTTGAAAAAAAAAAGCTATGTACTGGGAAGATCTAGCAAACACCCCAACGGGACTTTGAAAAAAAAATAACCCCAGTCCCAGTCCCAGTCGCCTCAGATGACCCGAGAGGCTGACTGGGATTAGCCCATTCGCAGAGACGACTACAGGAATAATTTCTGTCGGCAGACCACCCCACATGTCGGTCACCTCGTGAGCCAGGTCCAGATATTTTGTTTACTTATCTGTTTCGGCTTTCACAAGGTTCTCGTCATATGGAATGGTAATGTCGACCAAAAATATCCTTGGCTGTGCCTGGTCCATCAGCACAATATCAGGTTTATTTGCAAGAATAGTCCTGTCTGTGATGATGGCCCGGTCCCGGTAGAGCCTATTATTATCATCGTTGGTAGGAATTAGTGTTATTTAGTGAGAATTTGTGGTTCGTCAAATTTGATGTAATGGTGGGGGACGATTTTGAACATGTTTACAAACTGCAGACTTCCCGGAGTGTCGGTGCCTCACATTAGCAATATGTTCTTTCACGCGGGTTTTTATAGATGAGAGAGTGAACATGTTCGGAAAATCTTCTACCACAGAGTATATATTTTTGGACTTCATAAAGTTTAATAGTACGAGACTGTCTCTTAAGAATTTTCCTGCTTTAAAAGTCGCTAATCACTTGTCCTTTCATCAGTATTTTTGTACCAATTCAGCTTACAGATTTGTAATACAAAAATATCAACCGCATGTTTTTACTTTACAGGGGCTCGCAGATGAACCTATGCAATGGCGGTGTGGGCACAGCCGCGATGACCGGTCTCGTCCCCAAGATCCACAACGACTGCGGCGACCAGAAGAAACCGATGGCGTCCCTTACACATCTCCCCAAACGTCCACCAGTCGACATTGAGTTCTCTGATCTCTCCTACTCCGTCAGCGAAGGCAGAAAGCGAGGGTATAAAGCGTTGCTTAAGTGCATCAATGGGACATTTCGCTCCGGTGAACTGACCGCAATTATGGGACCTTCAGGAGCTGGGAAGAGCACCCTTATGAATATTTTAGCGGGATACAAGTAAGTTATTTTAAATTACATGACTATAATAATATTTTTTTTGCTATTAAAGTCAGCGCTTGACTACTATCCCACCCTATGGTAAGTGGTGATGCAGCCGAAGAGTTTACTTACTTACTTAACTTAACTTAACAAGAGCCTATTTGCCTTAAAAGTACCACCTAATTCATATAGTTTGTTAGTATAAAAGTAATACTTATAACGTGTGTTACGCCTAAATGGAATTGTTAAAGATAAGTTCCTAATTAATTAAATGTTGCTTAAGAAGAAATGAGCTTATCTTTCATTAATTATTTTCACGATGCAGTTGGAGCTATGTATGACATTGCATAACTCATGCATGTTGTAGTTACGGAGTCACGCTATTAGTTTTCGATTGAATATTTCATGCGTTCGTAAAAAGTTATTGTCCGTTGACACGAAATAAATAAAAACAGAAAGTTTTGAATGCGTTTATAAAAATAGGTTCTATGCCTTGGTGTTTGTTAAGGATAAATTTACTTAAGTTTTATTATTTACTAAATTTAAAAAGTAGGAGGTTTTCAATTCGAATGTATGTTGTATTTATATGTACCTATGTTACGCGATATCTTCTTTAACTGTGAATTGATTTTAATAATTATTTTTACTAATAAGCTATTACCTACATATCAATATAGCCATAAGCTATGAAGTAGTCCGGAAAGCAGTTAATTTTTACTCTGTGTGGACATTATCATTCTTAGCACTGGGGAAAAAAGGTAAAGTTTTACAAAAATTCGGTACATTCATAGTATTTGGCATACAAAAGGATGATAATCTAAAGAAGTTGAGAAATATTTTGTTTTCGATCTCTAGAAATTAGCGTTAAATATTGACATAATTATTTTGTTTCTACTTCATATGCAAAATAATCATTTATTTAGTAAATATTTACATAATTATTTGATTCTGATAAAATGTTGCACTCATACTAATAATATGCTAATTTCTAAAAACCGTTATAGTTTTTATAAGTATAAATTAAATGTACACTTATTTAAAGGTAAACTAAAGTCATTAATACATTTACCCAAATATTCTTCACAAAACTAAAGAAAAAGATAAGAATACTAAAAATTATTGCTCATAAATATTAAGAAACGATGTAAAGAATGTATTCAAAATGTATTAAGTCATGTTAAATAATAACTACACTATTAGAAGCATTTAACTGTCTACAAAGTACGGGTATTGAGGAATTAAATCTTAGAAAGTGGAGTAATATGTTTTCGAGGATATCTAATTGAAATATGAAAACTTAACCAACGTAGTAGGTAACCAATCTATTTCCGAACATTGCATGTTATAAAATCGCATAAACTTTGCAAATCAGAAGGAACCATTTTAAATGTTTTAATCTGTCAACTACGATGCATTTTTATACGTTTTTGTGTTCAAAAGACCAGATGTCATTACAATATTTTTTGGATACGCCTAGATAGGCGAAGATTATGGGTAGAATAATGTGGACGCTAATCATGCCATGTGCTAGTTTTTGTAAAGTTTTTATTACGGTCCATTTATTTACTCCTTTATTGATCAAAGGAATACTTCCCAGATACCTATGTCATATACGAACATGTACATTAATTTATATAATTTGAAGGCAATGCAAATTAATAACAATTCAGTGTAGTAGTAATCAATGATCATCATCATGTATTGGATGTGAGAAGTTTTCCAAAGTGAATTTGGACTCATGAATAAAACTAATACGATTTCGCCGCGTTTTATTTTAATTTAGGTTTCGTTTTAATTTTAGACTATTCGGGCGTGATGGGATTGAGATGTTTAACGTACTGATATCATAGTTAATCTGATTAAATTTCATACGCGGCTCTTTCTAATTATTATTTTGTGTTCCGATTCACGTGAAGAGATCTGTTTCTTTTTTTATGACTTAAAACTTGTTTCGCTCGTCATTTTTATCCAAATTATTATTCAAGGATTGTTGTGTTTTCCTTATGTGACAAAGTATTTTTAAAAAGTAACAAGTACCTTTGCCGTACACTTCAAAGTAGATATAATTCTGTAAATATTATGAAATATTTTTTACGGGCTTTTGTGAAATTTGAACTTATAATTTTTTATTTAATAATAATAATGTATACATAAATAAAGTAATTTGAATCCCTTAGTGTAGAATTGGTCGGGATACATTTTTTCCATGGAGAGATCTAGATTTGTAATTCTGCTTATTTTTTTCTGCGGTAGCAGTAGCTTTGTAGAAGAAAGGAGCAGAGTTTATAAATGTTTTACAAAAAATAAATTTGTGTATAAATAATAGAAGCAGGCGAAAGTTGTTAGAACTTAATTTGCTTATTTCCGCGTAATGAAATAAAATAAGGTGTCTTGCTCAGTTTATTTCATTACGCGGAAATAAGCAACTTCAAATTTGTACACATATCTAATATCTATGCAGGGTTATTTTTCAAAGAGTAGCTAAATTTAATGATTAAGTTCAAGATATAAATACTGGTGTGCACTTATTGCAGTTTTTAAAAATACGCGTAAATAAGGTTCCTACATTTATTTGAAAATATCCGAATTTGAACGTGATTTATGGGCAACAACAACGCGTGCTCGTGTGTGTACGACTCAATGCACGGAGCTTTTGCCTACCGTTTACCTACTTCTTTAATGACACGCTCGCTACTAAGTTGATAACTACGACGTGCATTATGATTCCAATTTTCTCTTCATACTTTAAACGTGCTTAGGACCGTCATTATAAACACAATATAAAATTACATTTCAAGGACGTCTGGG